CTTAAAAAACTAAAGTTCTATCAGGATCATGTATCTGCCCAATCAATCCCCATCTGCCAAACATTTCATGACTTTTATTGAAAACGATTTCTGTATTGGACATTTCAAAATCTACGCTGAAGTAATCGATTCCTCATATTCCTTGTCTTCTTTGACACAACCTCTTTCATCTTCTGAGGGAAAATGGCCTCTCCCAAGATGCTTTTCTGGTATCACCATGTTGGATTAGTATCAGAGCTACCAGATCCGCTCTCAGCAGAGTCGTATTTAGGTTTCAAAAGTTTATGAGAAGTTGGGGTAGGTAAAGGAGAAGGTGTTTCTTCGTCGTTATTGCTTAATAGCTTGAAGGTGGGCATCGTAGAGTCACGAATCACCATTGGTAGTGATTCTATTTCCAACAAAAAGGGGAAGATTGATCGGAAGAGAGAAGGGTATGGTGTCGGCGACAGGGAAGTGGAATGTGCAGTGAGAGAGATGGGTTAAAGGATGGGGCCGTGTAAAGTAGGGTTAAAATATATAACTTGTACATGTGTTTGTGCGATGCAAACATACTCTATCTATCTAAAATTGTTTTTTTCGTTCTATGTTACGAATTTTGAGTGAAGTTATTTTTATTTCAATGCATTTCATTCACTACACACATTAAGGCGTTAGCATTGGTTGTTTTACACTTTTTTGCATCGCTTTTGCACCGATGCTTTAGACTTTTTGCATAGGTTGTATTATGCAATTGATGTAGTCTATTTATTTGATTTTGTAGTAGTGATTATAAGTATAAAATTTAAATATGAAATTTATATATTTTAATACTACAAAATACGAAGTGACATGACAATATTTTCTTGTATGAAGTAAAATGAGTAGTAAAATTCAGCAAACAAAATAAATTAAATTTCACTGTATAAATAGTGTATGAAAAGAATATTTCTAAGTAAAGGGAATAATTATTTTATGTTATAAATGAGAGAATAAATTTTTAAAATGGTCTTTTCTAATGACGTATTTTCCTAAATTAGTGTTCATTAAGTTCTAATTACCCACATGATACTTTCCAATTTTTATTTCCTATGTAATCCTACATAAAAAATGTCACTTAAATATCGATTATGTAGAGGGTATTTTGGTATATTTTATCATCTAAATTTAGTGTAACTTTTAAAATGATCAATTCTAATGAAGTCTTTTTCCAAAATGGTCTTTTCTGTGCAGAGAGGTAAATCTAATTCAAATTTAAATATTTTGACAGATTTTTAATAATTTGTGGATTATGTATAGTTAATGATTATTTTAATTTTGAAAAATGCTAGGGGTACACCGTACCCAAAGATGTACCCCATTTGTCCCCCACCCCCTCCATTACCACAAAAATGGGCAAAAAATTTTTAAAAAATTAAATAAATAAAAAGTAGATAAAAATGAGTGGTGGAGAAGAGGGTGAGGGACAAATGGGGTACACTTTTGGTGTACCCCTAGCATTGCTCTTTAATTTTACATGAAACTTGTATAAAAGTGTCTATTTTAAGAATATACCTTAAGTTTAGATAATGGATATATCAAAATATCTTCCAATTAATCATGGAACATTTTTTACGATAGATTACTTAAGAAATAAATCTACATTGTAAAATATCATGTAGATAATTAAAATCTATTGAGGACTAACTTAAGAAAATACTTTATTAAAAAGGATTGTTTTGAAAATTTACTCTACATATGAGATGTGTTCTACATATGAGATGTGTCTATTGGACATAGATATATTGTGTGTGTGATTTAGGGCATGTTTGAGAATAGCGTTAGCGTTTTGAAAAGACTATCTACGAGTAGCATTTAGCGTTAGCATTTTCAAAGTAATCTAAATCGTTAAAATTTTATCCAAAACGCTAACGCTAATCTCTAACGCTATTCTCAAAGAGGCCCTTAAATTTTAGATTGTGTTACTGTGTACATTTGATATAGACCATCATGGTGTTTTAATGGGTCGACATTGGGCCTGCCAATGCCATATACGCGTTCGTACCTCGCCCAATTCTAAACCTTTCAACTTTGGCCTTCTTCCTTACCGACGACCACATACTCTTCGAATTCGCCGTTCTTCCAACTAACCGCAGGTATTTCTTCTTCTAAGCTCCATCTCTGATATTCCTGCTGCTTAACCTTTCAACTTTATCAATTATTCTCAGATTGAGTTATTACACGAAACGCAATTAGCAGATGTTTAAATTATTACTCCATATTGGATTTTTGATGTTTATTATCGAAGAAGTGCACTTTCACGTTCCAGATCAACATTCTCTTTGTTACTCCGTATTTTATTTCTACAGATTTTTCCATTTTATGCTATATCTTTATCAACTACAACTGAATCGGCTGTATTTTTCTTCTTCTAAATATGCGTCTTTCAGATTTATTTTTAGGAGGATCTATTGCATTAAAATAGCTGTCTTTAGTTTTTAATATTATCAGAGTGTATGAGATCTGCATTTCTGTCAGATCTTTAATTGTTTAGGTAAAATAAGATTTTATGAAGAGATTAGATGCTATAAGATTGTTGTTGTGGGAAGGTGCAAATTTTTAGTTCAAAAAGTTGTCGTTGTGGAGTTTAGAGGATGATACATTTCAAGACGGTTGAATTTTGTAATTGTGCACCTTTTGAAGTGATGAGATATTTTTAGAGTAGGAAACTCTGTAAATCAAGAATGGGCATTGAGTTAAGAACAATAAAAACACACCAGCTAGTTGGAAAACTAAATTTAATTATGAGTTTAACAACAGAAACCACCTGCCAAAACGAATTGCAAGAACAGATTGAGTATAGTATTGTACCAGTAAACATATTCCCGTCCATTGCCAATGGAGCTAAAGGAGTCATTATTGGTTTTTTTTAGTTTCAGACACATGATAGACTAAATCAAAATAAATCATTAAACTTCCATTGCTTCTTACTTTCGGTGATGTTTTGGGTTGTTATGGAGAAATGCGTCTAGGGTGCAATGGAAATAGCCCATCTCCTCTTACAGGGGTAATATTGGGTTGTTGGTGTTGCTGTAATTGGTAAACATATTGACAAATATAATAAAAGGGAAAGACAAACTTAGTGTGTGATCATCCGATATACGGATTTGCATTGAAGACTGAATCTAGACAGCGAAGTTGTTTCACATACTGTACATTAAACACTTCCCGAATCATAGTTTAGGGGCTTTAACTTTTCATCACAACTCACGAGCTTTAACTTTTCATCATTTTTCTAACACTGATGTGTCAAGTGTAGGGGCAGGGATTGCTCTTTTCATTCATTATCCATATGTGCCATCTTGGTTACAGTCCAATCAAAATCAGCGATAGTTTTCTTGTTTAACATAAAAATTTCTCTAATCTATTAGAGAGGTACTCCCTCCGTCCCCAGAGTATTCGTCCAGTTTGACTTTTTTGAGTCAAAGTAGACAAACTTTAATCATCAATAGCCATCAATTTGTATTGCATATTAATACAATGGAATAAAATTTTGAAAGCTCTAAACGAGTTAAATATATTAAAATCATTTTTATATTAATATATATTATAGTTTTTACTTAATTACGGAGTAAGACTTAAAGTTCGTCCACTTTGATTCGAAAAAGTCGAACTGGACGAATAGACGAATACTCCGGGACGGAGAGAATATTAATAATAAAGCAAAGATGGATTGACCTTGAATGTTATACTGCATGTAATATTGGAGGCCACTGTATCTAATATTCCAATTGCTACTGCTTTGCATACTTGCTTGAAAATAAGGAATATAGTGATCTACTTGTAATTCTTTCTTACTTCCCTCAAAAGCCTTGGCTCTTTGAAAGGCACAAAGAAATAAAAAGAATGCTACTCTGTAATTTAATAATTAGAAAGGGGTAGATTGAACAAGACTTACAAGAGTCTCGAGTGGCTGGATGAACATATTCGTTCAAAAATGTTCTTTTAATGAACTAAATTACATAGAAGTGACTCGAAGATTGATGTTTTAAGGGTTTTTTTATATTGTTATTTCAGCGGTTTCAAAGACTGAAAAGATGGGTATAGTTGATGGAACATTTGGACGGCTTGCACCCAAGGCGAAGAATATGGTAGTTGCGGGTGGATTGTCTGCATTCGTCTTTGGGGTCTATTTCTACACAATGAGAGCTGTTGGTGGCTCTGATGAACTTCAGGTTGCCATTGATAAATTTGAAAAGGAGAAACCAAGCTTGGCATCCAATACCTAAGCACATCAAAATTATCCTTTGAAGTTTCTCTTGTAAAGAAAATCAAGATTGTGGATTTCCCTTCATGTTTAAGTGGTTGGTTAGCTTTGGTGAGTTTTATTAAACATCAGTCATTTTGGTGATAATGGGAAACCTGCTTCCAAAATCACATCATCCATCATATACTATAACGTTTTCTTTCATTAGAAAATGTTGTGCTTATTTTAAGCTATGCTCCTCATATATACGGTGTAGTTATTACTATGTTTCAACATGACTACATGACAATCTCGTACCCACACGTGTTGTTTGGAATTGTACTAAATTCATCAACTTTGCAAGGTATTGGTTTTGATCATCCCATTTTTCACTCTGGTATAAGCTTTAAGTTTATTTATTCCCCACCCACTGCCTCCCCATCTTGGCAGCCCCCACCACCACTTTCGATTTGCGAGATTTGACGTAATAGACTGTGAATGGAATGGCAGTATCCGGTGGATTGAAATCTTTTCATGACTAGTACTCCCTCCGTCCCAATTTAAGTCGCCTGTTTTGACTTTTGGGCATATTTAAGAAAAAATAAAAAATAGAGTTAATTTTTTGAAATTGTCATTACTTTTTAAGAGATGTGACGATGAATGAGAAGATACGGTGGAGAAGAGAGACTTATTTTAGGGGTAATTTAGGTATTTTGCTCATAAAAGTTTATGATAACAACTAACAGGCAACTTATTTTGGGACGGAGAAAAAAGACAAACAAGCAATTTAAAATGGGACAGAGGGAGTAGTAGTTTATAATGGATGAAGTAAATAAATAAACCATGTTTCTGCAGTGACTACAAATACTGCACTCTAGTGATGATGCCACAGGTGGTGGCTGGATATTTATTTATGAGAATATGAAAGCTCTGTATCTCCCACCAAACTACTACATAGAATCAATCAGTCATGCCCATTTTGCCCTTCAATCTTTCAACAACATGAGGCAATGTCTTGATGCTGTCTTGAACCAAAAGATCAACGCACGACTCCAAATCCATCATGGCATTGCCTTTGTTCGCCTGGAGTTTTGAAGACTCGTATTTGTCATGGCAGACCAGCAGTGACCTTTGCAGCTTTTCCTGCACCCATCAAAACCATTTTTGTTATGATTTGTATGTATACTTTACTTTTGTTGAGCAGTAAAGAGATGCACATACATTCCTAATTGCTTGTTTTTTTTGGGAGTTAACACAAATGAACAAGATCCATATGGTTTCGTTCGGTAGCCTTTATCAAGCTTATTCAGCTTGTACACAAAATAATTGGGCTCTAAACCATTTCCTTGCAAGGAATTCAATAGATGCAATAACTTCCTTACCCTTGATGTATTAGTGCATTTACTACCCAAAATTTCATAGAATGCAAGAAACAAAGAATGTTTAATTGAAATTTAACGCCTCATACTAATTTTGTTCATTACTTACCCAGAGCTAAAACATTGTCAATAATGAGTTTTATAGCTCGTTTAGCAATGGGCGCAAAATTCAACAAATTCGACTTTTTTTTAATCATTTCAGCCCAATATAGGCCTTCCCAACTGAATCCCTAGTATGATTCATCACTCTTTTTTTCTAACATGTATGTTTCATGGCCAGAGCCAAATTTATTCAGATCCAAAAACAATCAACAAAACTAGTAGATGGTAAGCAACAAGAGGAAACTACCAGATTGTTACATGAAAGAGATACATATAAAACATACAAGTGCAAAGAACATATCATTGCTAACAGATAAATGCTACACAGAGAAGCAAGATCCATGATCATGTCCACAAGTCTCATTTATATTTGCAAGCCTAAGTTGAATGCTATGTAGAGTCAGAGATTAGAAAGATGAGCACGCCAAAGGTGAAGTTCATAAACATTTCATATGACAAATATGTCCAAACAATCTTTGAAACTTGAATGCTACATTATTGTGCACCTGATGTAAGTTGCAATTCGTTCAAGAAGAGAAGCATAAAATCTCTTGATGGAGGCTTGGGCCTCACATCTGGGTCTATGTACATTGGGTCAGGCCCACCTGGAGTGGACTAAGGTCAAAGGTAGCGGGAGCAAAAGCGAGCTCCGTTCTTTCCAGACGACGACCAGGCCTGGGAGCCAACCTGCAAATTCCCACCGCTCATAAATGATGGGAACGGTCCTTCGTAGCAAGATGATGCGTATCATAAGGCCTCTACCTTCAAAGTAAGGTTCATGCACGAAACAGAGCACACGCAAACTCTACGACAACCGCACAACTCTGGTCACCCATCAAGAAAACCAGCACGCACTAAACGACGAGGAAGGCAGAACGATGCCCAACATCTCCCTGCTCTCATTATCTCCCTTTCTATTGACCTCCACTGGGTCAGAGTTGGTGAGATATTGACCGTCACCTCTGGTCTGAATTTTTTTTTTCAATTTTGTGCACAACACCTTTGTTCGAAATCAGAAAAACAAACAAATCTACATATAAGAATTTGGACAACTCTTCCTATAAGTTTGAAATGAAAATCCAAGTCTTAAGAATGAAGCATATGCAAAGCACATAAGTGCAGGAAACTTATCAAGTCTAGTTCAATAAAAAATTTCAACTTTAGTGCATCACAAAACAACAAATCCAGAAGAATCCCACAATGGTCAATTAAAAAATAGAAACTCCATAAATTTAAGAATAAGACAATGAAAAGAGAAACTTACTTGAAATACTGAAATTTCGTTCTGAAATACACTCTGAGCATTGACAAGAGGGCCGGTGCAGCGCTCGACGCAAGTCCCTATCTCCTCATGCTTCCTCCTCCGGTCGAAGCACTCGTACGCGCATTTGAAGTACGATTGCTAATCATATGGAAGATCGCATCAAATCGTATAAAACTTGCAGAAATTGATCAGAAACGGAAATTAAGCGGAAACGGGGAAGCTGGGGTAACCTGGAGGGTGAAACTGACATGGTCTTCCACGCTTGAGAAGTGCGTCTGTAGAGCTCTGTTGACTTCATCCACTTTCGGCCTCAATCTCTCCGTTATTATTCGTTGTTCCGCTGAGTTGGGATCCATAGCTGGGCTCTGAAACTAGGGTTTTTTTTCTCTCGGAAGGTTTAGGCCTTGGATTTCTCGTTGTACATCCTCTTCTAGGTGTACGGAGTACTTTTCTTTTGATCCGTTAGTCAAGAAACCAAAAAGAAAAAAGAAAAAAAATGGAAAATATTCCCTCAGTCCCAAATATGATGTGTTTGGAAACTTGAATTTGGATTTCAAATCCATATTTGATTCAGATTACTTGTTTGGGAATTCAAAGAATTTGGATTTGGATTTTAACCAAATTCTTCTAATTTAAAACTAACTCAACTACAAATTCACACCCCTCCCCATGTCATTTACAAATTCAAACTTAATTTTTCTTTAATTTAAAATTTGTAATTAAAAAGTGATCTTCTCTTATATACGGAGTAATAACAATCCCCTACATATAAATCCACTTCCGTTACTATCTTTGCCAATTCAAAATTCAAATTCTAGAATTGAAATTTTATGACTTCCCAAACAGCATTGTGATTTTGAAATTATGGAATTTCAAATATTAGAATTGAAATTTTACAATATTAAAAAATTATGTTAAACATTTTACAAAACAAGAAATAATAAGAATATTATATTTCATCAAAATCAATAAAAATAAATAGATAAACAAAAAAACGAACAAAAGAACATTCTAATCAAATCTGAAACAGAGGAACATAAAGAAAGGGAAGTAGAATAAGGCTTTGTTTGGTACTCCCTCTATCTAGATTTAATTTTCTCATTTTACTTTTCTTAGTCAAAATTTATGAATTTTGACCTCAATATATACAAAAATACAATGTGTTTCGATAGAAATGTAATATCAATATTTTTCCTTTGAAACATAGTTTTGAAGTATAAAATTTTTATAAATTAATATATATATATATAAATGTCAATATTAATGGTTAAAATATTACTTTGTAGACCATAAAAACATACTCCGTAAATCAAAAGAATTACTATTTAATCCGTAATAATGTTATGAGAAATGCTAGAGTCACAAACACTTTGATCACAAAATACACAAACTTACTATTTGTGTATTTAAATATTTACTTTTTTAATTATTTAACATCACTTTATTCACTTAGTGAGGTGCACAAATAGTAAGGTTGTGTATTTTGTGACTGAAATGTTTGTGACTCTAGCATTGCTCTAATGTTATAAATATCATTAATCGGGTGGACATGTTTTTAGGTTGTACAAGGTATCTTTTTTATGAGTTGTTCTTATATGGCTCTAAAGTTTCTCATAATTTTCCTGGAATGCCAGGTGGGTTTTTTATTCTTTTTTTATAAAAGATCCAATTTTTTAGTGATAACAATGTACTAAAATCCATAAAATGAACATAGACCTTAAATATTATAACTATGTTCTTTTATGTTGAAATTTCAAAGTAGGATGTTGGAAGAAACTGAAAGGCATTGGAAGAAAGTAGTATAAGTTGGAAAAGCTTGAAAATGTTGAAAGATTTTAAGTGTTAAAATGTCACTCAAATCAACACCAACACAATAGAATGTTCAAAAAAATTATTCGAAGAAAGATACTTCAAGAATGTAATATTTGATAATATATAATTAAATATGGAAAAGACTCTGTTACAAAAGACCAAATGGATGTATTCAATCTGAAATCAATAATAATTTTTGAGTTTTAAAAGTCTGTGAGTATTCAATTCAGATTTTAAAAAGTCATTTAAAATCTATATATATTTAGTTCAGATTTTAAAAAATCTTTCTAAATCTAATGGTATTCAAAAACTGACAGAGTTTTAAAAATTTTAAAAGATGTAAATTTTGTTAAATTTTTAGGCCTTGGATATGAATAGAAGTCTACTCCCAAATCTCACGCCAAAGGTAGGGATTTCAACAACTTCTTCATCCCCTCCTTCATCATCTCTAGACGATTTGCCCGCTACGCCGTGAACAGTGCCGCAAAGGAAATTGAGGCGGCAGAGGATGTCGATCCGGACAGTAGATCTGGATCCAAACATCTTTTACAACGAACAATAAATCTGGAAGATCTCGTGGCGAAGGATGTCGATCCGGACCTGTTTTGCAGTTATTTTACAGCCGAAGATGCCCCTTCTCTTTGTAGAGCTTGAGGTGTAAGAGATGGCCAAGGAGGAAAAAGGGACCCGTTTTGTTCTTAATTTTTTTTTCTTATGAATATTGTATAAATTTGATTTTGCAAGAAATATATTTAGTCATAGATTGTATGTATATGTGATTTTTTTGTTATGTTTGTTTCGATGATGTGAAAATATTGACAAATATATAGTTTAATCTTACAAATTTGATACATATTTGTAACAAATTTGATACAAATTTGTATGTATGTATAAGTGGTTACTTCATGATTTTTTCTAATATTATTGTCTTGTTATGTTTTTATTCATTGAATATATTTTTATGTTGTAATCCTTGAAGCAAATGGATGTACATCCGGGACTTATTTTCCGAGATATTCTAGTAATTGAAGCGGGAGGCCACAGGTGTGATGCAGTTTGGGCCAGTGAAGAATATGCTCAACATCTATTAAAGTGTCACAGGACTTGTACTAGCTTGTATGCGAGGACACTTATTGTTAATAGACCGGTTCGTGTGATTCAGTTTTTACGAGAATACGGATTTTATGGGGTTGAGAAAGTTGGTGGGTTGCAGTTGGACTGGGCTTTGATCATAGCTCTAGTGGAGAGATGGAGGCCAGAGACCCATTCATTCCATCTTCCCTTCGGAGAGGTTGGAATTACTTTACAGGATGTAGAGGTTTTACTTGGATTGCCCGTAGATGGCAATCCATTGGCGGGGATGACTCGCCGATCCAGAGACCAGTGGATTCATATTTGTGAGGACATGATGGGATTTCGGCCTCAAACTTCCGATATTACTTCTACTATGATTAAGATGTCTGCCATTGTTCCTAAGCAACTAACAGATCATAGTTTAGATGTAGATTACTTGCAGCATGCCAGAGCCATTATGTTTAAGTTGTTGGGTGGTAGCCTATTTCCCAACACGACGGGAAATAAGGTTAGTT